GCTTCATTGATATACTTAACAAGTTAATTGCAATGTGGAATCTGAAATATCAGTTAACATACACTCTATTAAATTAAAATCCTTTGTCCTGTCTTGCACTTGGAATGAGTTTTTCACTTATGCATAATGTTGTAACATCATGAAATTGGTCTTCTGGAAAATACTGTGGATTTTCTAAAGGTTGATTAGTTTTATAATATGAAAAAACTCACATTAATTACTATAGCATCTATCTCATCATAAATGCATTAAATTAACTACTAAGTAGATAATGGTAGATACAAAGCTTCCAAATTTTGTTTTGTTTTAGTTTTTGCTATAGAGTGCATGCACTTGATGGAGAGAGAGAGAGAGAGAAATCATGCCAGGAGATGTGGGGGATAGCCATGCCGCAATCCCTTTTCCTTCAATCTACTCAAAGGATTTTGGGTATGCACGCTCATATGCTTGGCATGATATTTTCAAGCTGCTCAGTCCTGGATTCAAACTACAAAATTAACTATATAGGATCCATACCTTAACCTCCACGCCACCTGCTGGCTCTAAAATGTTAATTTTTAATTGAAAAGCTAGAATTTTATCATTAGTAATAAATATTGACATTGTTCTCCTCAAAGTGAAAGTTTTCTTTTGTTTTTTAAAAAATTTCTACCAAATACCCACATCTGAGTAAACGCAGTTTACCAGATGTTCTTTCAGTTAAAATATCCGAGAATAGAGGGACCAGAAGTTAGTGTAATGGCTATGTGGCTGGACTCCAAAGTAGTCGACCGCGGTTCGTGTCCCGGACCCGGTGGCTTAAAACTCACGCCGGGCACGTGTGCGTGCGTGCCCAAGATCCCGAGGGGAGAATGGAGGAGAAGGGATTGCGGCGTGGCCATCCCCCCTGGGGGGTGATTTCTCGCTTTCTATCTCTCTGTCTCTCTCTGGCGAGAGCCCGCGCCCTATAGCAAAAACCTCTAAAAAAAAAAAATCCGAGAATAAAGCTGATTCAGCTCACAACTCTAATAATCAAACAAATGCTTTTCCTGAAGAAAACTATCATATTTACCCTTGTCTGATATACATAATATTAAAAAGGAATTACATAGGATAAAAACTTAGGCCCAGTTATGGTGCAGGTGGTAGGGGGTACTATGTGACACAGGAGTCCTATGGAAAAGTCTGGAGTTCAAATCCCAGGTCAACCTGAACATGCTGTGACCCTGGCTGGCTGGCTGGCAGCTGGGGGAAGGAGACCACAGCATGGTGACAGGATACCTGTCTCTCTCGGTCTCTCACTTTCATGAAATAAATGAATGAACTTAATTTTTTAAGTTTTTGTTGTTTTTGTTGTTGTTGTTGTTGTTGTGTTTTGTTTTATTTTGTTTTGTTTTGTTTTGCCAAAGAACATGTGCATTTGCCAGAAACAGAGAGGGAGAGAGGGGAAGTGAGAAAGCACCCCACCCTGCGGAATGGTTACACTGTAATCTCTTTTCTGTTTCTCCCTCCTTTTGGGATCCTGGCCATGCACACAAACATAACCTGTGTGTTTCCCAAGCTGCCAGGTCTGGGACTCAAATCACAGTCAGCAATGTGGGATCCAGTCGCCCTAGTGACCACAAACTGGCCCTGAGCTTGGAAAAATTTATAATAAAATTAAAATGAATGATTATTACTGCTTCAAAGGGAATCATAAGTGGATATCACTTTTTATTTCTTTTGATTCCAAGTAGATCGCAGTGACCTTGCAGAGTTTGGTGCTGTTGCTGAGATGCTGCCAATTCTATCCATAACTGAGTCTGTACCATCTGTACTAAATGTCAACACAATGTAAAAGAGGCAAGGCCAGTAGGGCAGCAGGTAAGCACTGCGCATAAGAAGTTGGATCCCACAGAGGAACAAAGGTAGAGGTATTGGTCTATTTCAAAACCTTCCAAACTCATAAAAGCTCTGGTATTAAGAAAATTAACAATATTATGGTATAAGACAGCTAGCTATATATACATCAATGTATATATATGGGAAAAAAAATCCAAGGGAAATGTGATTTAAATTTAAAAGGCATTAATGAAGGGCTAGCAGGTGGCAAACAAGAGTAGAGGTTCAGGTGCTGGACTTCCACATGACCAGTGCGGTTTGAGTCCCATGTGGGCCAGCCTCTCAGAGCACTGCATGTAACGCTGGACCAAAGGCACACTGCTTTCAGAAATGTAGGGATAACTGAACACCTTGATCTCTGACTTACATCGTAATAGTTCATTTGAAAAGGATCACCATCCTAAATGTGAAGGCCAAAACGATGTCGTTTCTAGATTAAAGCATCTCTTCAAGACTGGAGTACAGGTAAAAAATTTTTGTGTAAAATACAAAACCAAAAGGGAAAAACACTGAAAATATTGGATTTCCAGCTCTCAAAGACAACATTAAGAAAGTGAAAAGTCAACAGATAAGAAAGTATTTGCAAACCCTATATCTAAAACCTATATTGAGAAAATTGAAAGAACACCTAATATTCAATAAAAACAAGAGACTTTAGTGAAAGACTTAACCAGTATATTACAAAAGAAGATATTCAAATGTCCAATAAGCATATTAAGGTGCTCAACATTCACTAGAATGATGAGAATAAAAGCAGGAGTTACTGAGAATGTGAGACAACCAGAATGCTCATACACTGCTACTAAAAATACAATTGGGCATTCTGGAATTTAGAAATATGACTTGCCAGTTCCTAATCCAGTTAAGCATCATATGCCTACCTTATAACCCAGCAATTACATTCCTTGGAATATGTTCAAAGGAAATGTATGCGTATGTATAAATAAATAAATAAATAAAATAAATTTGTATAGGAATGTTTATCACAGCTTTATTCATAACGGCCCAAAGCTGGCAACAAGATAACACATACATATACACTGTGGCATATCTGCATAACAGAACACTACACTCAGTAAAAATAAACCAGTGATAGATGAGGAAAAGAAGCCAGATACTAAACTGTATATACAAAGGGGCCAAACAGCGGCCCAGTGGTAAAAACATGATGCTCTGTGAGTCATGGAAAGGTTTCCTGTTCAAGTCCGGAGAACCTCCCTGAGTATGCCCACCACATACTGGCCTATGATCTAAAACTGGCTGAAGGCATCAGGGCCCTGTGTCGGATGTCGCTCTCTCTCTCTCTCTCTCTCTCTCTGTCTTGCTCACAGAAGAAATAAACTTGAAAAGAAAAAAAAATGATGTATATATACAGAATGATACCAGTTATATAAAGTCTAAAATAAGGCAAAGCTAATTTATGATCATGAAAAGGCTTATTGGGGTCAGCAGGTGGTGTGGCGAATACAGTGCTGGACGACCACATGGCTGACCACAGTTCCAGTCTCAGACCCAGGGACTTGAAAATCATACCAGGCACATATGCAAGGAGGAGAAGGGATTGTGGCATGGCCGTTTCCCCTGGGGAAGAGATCTCTCACTTCTCTCTCTCTCTCCTGCAAGTACAGTACACCTGTCCGATTGTAAAAACCTTAAAAAAAGGAATGTGCTTATATCTAGATTAGAAGAAATATTAACTGGAAGGCACAAGGGAAATTTCTTAGTTGATGAAAATATTCTATGTTTTGGTCTGAGTGGTGTTATATGGGTACAAAAATTCGTCAAACTGTATGGTTAACATATGTACACTTTTGCTATACATAAATAACACCCTAATTTTAAATATCTTAAGGGGGCCAGAAGGTGGCATGGAGGTTAAGGCGGCTGGATCCTACATGACCAACTCTGGGGTTCGAGTCCCAGACTCAGTGGTTTGAGAACACACACAGGGCACATGTGTATGCATGCCCAAAGTTCTAAGAGGAGAATGGAGAAGAAGGGATTGTAGCAGGGCTATTTCCCCTGGGGGGATGATTTCTCACTTTCCTTCTCACTGTCTCTCTCTTTGGCGAGTGTACATACTTTACAGCAAACAAACAAATAAACAAACAATAAAAACCTTTAAAGGTGATCAAAGTACAGTTTCATCAGTTTTTTTAAGCTGAAAGAGACTCTTAAAATAGTTTAATTCTCTCATTTTATAAAAGAAAGCACTGTGTTTTCAATCGACTTGTGAAATAGGTAGTTACAAGCAGAGCTATGACTAGAACCAAAGAATTCTTTTTTTTTAATAATTATTTATTTTATTTATTCATTCATTTATTTTTTAGTTTGAGCAGAGAGAGACAGAGGGTGAGAATGAGAGAGAGAGAGGAAGTGAGAAAGCAAGCCACCAGATTCAGGACTTGAACCCTGGTTGGCCATGTGGGAGTGTCCAGCACCTTAACCACCACGCCACCTGCTGGTCCCCCAGAACCAAAGAATTCTAAGTAAGTGGGCATGCCACCAAGCATCAAGAACAAGAATCTTCTCTGAACAACTATGTTCACACTGATTATTTGCCTTAGGTTTTCTGTGACAGTTCTCAACAACATCCAGGGGAATATCAGGAGATCTGATTCTAACAAGTTGCACAAGTGAGGTCCCAGGCTGCTCCTTAATTGCCCGGTGGGCTTACTATTCAATGAAGAGGGGTTCTTTGTTTATTTCTAAGTTTACAGATGGCACCTATAAGCATAAGCCTCTCAGGCTCATGGACACAATTTAAAATAGTGTGGCACTAACAGTTTGACACACATGTCACTAAGACAAATGGAATTCCCGGTTCAGACTTAAACAAATTCTGATGCCGCTCCCAACATTGTCCCCCTGTCACTAGTCTCAGGCCACAGACTGCATGAACAGGCCAGCCCTGTATTAGCAGCAATGACGCAGTTATAACGGTATAAAGGAGAAAAGTTGAGTCTTTTGGTCAAAAAGTTCTACATAAAAATGCAGTACCCTGGTATTTTCCACATTGGGGAGAATTTCAGCAATTCCTTCTCAAAACACCTAGAAAAGACTTAAAGTCATGTCAAGGACCTGGTACTTACAACAGAGAAAGCATGGGCAAGGTTTTAGTTGATACAAGATTTATTCACAGAAGCAATGTGTCATCAGAAAAAACTGTCCCCAATATTTCTTCTACTTGTTTACCATTTCTTCATCTTCAAATGAGACAATCATTTTTTTTCCTTAATTGTGCTGAGCTAAATTTTCCTCATTGTTAACTTGTCTTTGATCTTCTACCATCCTATAAATATTAGAAAGAAGAATAAGAGGAATATTTATATCAGAAGAGAGAGATGGTTGAACACTTTCCTTACAGGCAAATTAGATCTTTTCTCTATGTCCTTATTCTCTAATGCTTACTTTTGATTTTATATACACAGAAGGTAGGCAAAAGATTACTAATTTAAGGTATATACTTTCTCATTTCTAATTTTTAAAAAGCCAACCTTAATATCTGAGTTTGACTATTCTTCCCCTTATAGGGATGGTTCACAGGTCAGGACTGAGCCTTCTTTTAATTCCACCCTTATCCTTAATCCTCTTACGGATCCCACACAGGCTTTGAATACTCAAGGTACATGCCTGCAGTTGTCGACACTTTATAATCATCGAAAATATCTGAAACCCTGTTAACTGAAAACTACATCATTCATTTTTTAAAAAGTCATAACATTTCTAAAGAATTATATATTCTTATACCTGGGAATTACTTCCGGAAATTGAGTAAAACAAATTTTGCGCAGGGAAACTTTATTTTCTTTTACAAATGCTGAAAAAGAATGGCTAGGCAGAGAAAAATAATTGGCTGAAGATTTCAGCAGAAGTCCTTGACCATGATTAGAACGTCATAGCTCCTGTCACCCAGATCTAGTTTTGAGATCACAGACCTATGAGACTGAATGGTGTCTCTTACAAGTCTTTTCACTTCTTACCATGAGCAACTCTGAGTCTCTGATGGTCTTAAGGTATAATGACTACATTTGTCTGCCTCACAGTGGGAAAATACAGTATAATGAAATAAAACCCCCAGCAGCAGTTTTTCCCCAGTGCATCAGAAAAATCTGTAATATAAGTTCCTGCCTCTACAGCAATGGCCTACAACATAGATTTGACTATAAGATAAATAAAAGTGCTCGAATAATTTCCTTGTTATCTAATAAACTGTATTCCTCTAATAATAAGCATATACTTAATAAAGGTCTGATGCATCAAATGCTAAATACATAGAGAAGGCAAAAATAATCATTATAAAATCAATCAAATGTATTAGAAATCATTTAGGAGCCAGCCCTATAGTTCAGCAGATTAAGGAAGCCATATCCTTCAAGCACTACTGTAGTTTGAATTCTAGCCCTGGTGTCTTGAAAACACACCAGGCACGTGTGCACGAGTGGCCAGAATCCTGACAGAATGAAGAAATGGAGAAGTGGCTATGGCATGACCAGGCCCCACTGTGGGGAGTTTTCTCCCTCTCCCTTTCTCTGTGTGTGTGTGTGTCTCTCTCTCTCTGGTGAATGTACACAAACTCTGACAAACTTTTTAAAAATATTATTTAGATCTCTTCAACTGAACAACAAAAATATTTATCTTGAGTCAAGAACAACAAACTTTGCCCCTAGTTATCGACATGCTTGATGTAACACTAATACCTGATGCGTCGTACAACCTACTCTGAAGGATAACTGTTTTACTTATGTCACAACTGTCCTGGGGTTAAGTATTAGGTTGTTGGAATGTCATGTTGTGTTTTTCTATGTGAAAATGTGTCATAGCTTTCCTGACGACCCAAGCATAAATGCTGCTCTCACTACTTACAACTTTATAAAATTTTCACTTTATTCGAATTTGATAAAAAATGTCTATTCATCACACCAGCCAGACATAATTTGTCTTTCAGTCTCAATTGCATTGAGTTCTTTGCTGGTGAATATCAGTCTCTATAGAAAAACAAGGCTCTTCCACATCAGTCACCCATCTGAGCAGCAGAGTGCAAACATGGCGCTGACTGCTATCTTCGTGATTTCCTGTTAGAAGTCCTGCACCCTAATCAAGGTAAGGGCATATGCCAGTACAAACAATGGGAAGAAATCCTTAGACACCTAATCAGAGAGAATGACCAGCAAATAAATGCAAGAAATAGGTGCAGTACTCTGTCTAGAAAGACTATGATTCACACACGTCATTGTTACATAGATGGGCAGGAAGGAAGTGAGCAGTTGCCTCAAAGCCCAGTTGTTCTAGGTAGCTTTGTTAATGTTAAAGTTCTATAAACTGTCCATTTCCAGAACATTCTTCTTAACCAAAGAACAAACATCTCACAATGACCTAACCTCTAAATCTCATGTAGGGTAGCTTTTTTTGAATGACCAAAGATAAGACAAAACAGATGTTATGGTAATAACATCTACATAACAAGCAGTTATATATAAGCTGATGATCTAAAATATTTATATAGAGGAACTATTGGGTTGTGAGGAAAATCATGACGTACTTTCGCACAGAAATGCATGTCATGACTTTTCAAATGCCCTAATAGTTCGTAAGTATCTAAAGGCATAGAATGTACCCTGTGCCTAAATCACTTAAGTAAATAAGTAAAAAATTTGTAATTCAGGGAATATGTTTCTATACAAAGGAGTGAAGAAGAGATTACTAGATGATCAAGAAACTATCAAGGCCAAGAGATGGCACCTTGGAAATGCAACTGGGTTCACATGAGAAAAATCCTAGGTTGGCATTCCGGGACCCCCACAGAGCAGGTTGGGCACTCACTCAGCATGCATGCCAGTGAGCCAAGCCAGCTGACACAGGATGGATTATGATGTTTTGGATGCCTGTCTATCTCTCATGGAAGAAATAACTTAGGGGAAAATAAAAACTTAAAAGTTTTTTTTTTAATTAATTAAATCATTCTGCTTACAAAGGTTTATAGGGCGCATGCACTCACAGGAAAGAAAAAGAGAGAGATAGAGAAAGGAAAAATGGAAAATAACCCTACAGGGGGAATGGCCACACCACAATCCCTTCTCCATTATCCTCTTCAGATTTTGGTCATTCATGCACACTCGCCCAGCATGAGTCTCAAGCTGCCAGATCCAGGACTCAAACCATGGTTAGCCATGTGGAAGGTCCAGTGTCTTAACCACTATACCACATGCTGGTCTCACAAAGGTTCTTTTAAAAAGTAGAGGTTTTCTGGTTTTGTTTTTAATTAAATAATAATTGTACATATTTGTAGAGTACAGTGTGATTTTTCAGCATAATGTGTAATGACTGAACCAGGGAAATAGCACATTTATCATCTCAAACTCTTACTGTTACTGTATTGCAAAAAACTAGAAAAAATATTGCAATAATGGCACAAGGCTCTGCTGATTTCTCTTAGTTTCATGGACTAACATTGCCAGGTTAAGGCATAGATAGCTGAAGAATAACCTGGAGACCCTAGATTTATATAAAATATATTCAAAACATGTTTGCTTTCAAAATTGTTTAAACTGCCAAAGGATTTCACTATATCATATTAAACTTTAAATTCCATTACCTCTGAAAATTAATTATATGGAAAACAATGATATCACCACCAGGTAGACAGAGCAAGAACTGTCACTGAAATAGAGTGACAGCTATCAAATATGCCATATGAACAATTAAAAAGACCATATATGAAGTCCTATAAAATACTTGAAAGTAATACAAAGTAACGAAGCCCAATACGAGACACCACTAAGCAACAGGCAATCAAGCATCTTCCTAATGTGCATGACTTCAATGCATGGGTCATAATCAGAGAAGCACTTCCTGGTTCAAGAGCAACTATAAAAGTTTAGTAGAGTCTTTTCAACAGAAGTTCTAAAACAGAATTTTCCCATAAATTTGTTTGCATAAAGGACTCAATAATTTTACCCCTATCTTGTTAAACATCAGTAGAAAAGTTAACAACAGTGGCCTTATTTAGATGAAGCAGATGGAGGAGGTTCAACAACAAAATATCATTCATCCAAAGATATGTGTTGAACAACATATACTCCTCATGGAAAAGGGATCCAAACTATTCGAGAGGTAGATGAAGAGGTAATACACATAGAAGTCCAATTTCTCATCTACAAGGCTTTTAGCTCACAGCTGGAGAAAGCAGCACACACATTTCATTGTTCTGATTGTCTTTCAGAAAGAAACCAAAGCATTCTGGAATGCAAAAAGGCCTAGAAATATAACAAAAGAGCTTAGCCACCAAGAAGTCCTTTCCCTATTCATAAGATTGGTAATTTTAGGCAAAGGTTCAAAACTGTACAGCCAGGATCAAGAATTTCTACAATGTATCTCTACTGGAAATGTAACTATATCAAGGGTAAACATCTAATTCCTAACACAAAAATCAGCTTTAAAACTCTTATTGCAACAGAATTAAACAAAGCTATGGATACAACAGTTCAGTGAAGTTCCTCACTGTAGTAGACAACTATAGGCAGAGCTAAAATAGTTACATGATAAATACACAGTATTACCTCAGACTAGAGCATTGAATGTGTCAACTTTTAATAACACCTGGGACTGCTTTAGTCACAAGCCTTCCTCATAGCTAGTCACTTAACAATAAAACATTAATAATATGGCAGTTTAAGAATGTTTAAAAAGATCAAAGAAGTCCACTGTTGTAATCTTGAATAAAGTATTGAAGGTAAGATGCATGACATTTCTGAGATTCGCAATTCTAAATGTTAATTCCAGACCAGCCCAATCTGTTCGCATTCTCAGATTGAGACTATCAAAAAGACTTATTGTTTAGTTACCTATCTCAACACTTCATTCAGTACACAGAAGCGAGGATAGAGACCCTACACGTTTCTGTGCTTGTTTAAAGGAGAAATCCATGGTTGCTAACTTAAAGAAGAGGAACAAGTCTGAATCCTCTAAAGTAACAGTCTACATTTAAAAAGAAGGCATAACCCTGGATGGGGCTAGCTCAGTAAAATGCAAGGTATAATCCACTGACCAAAATATCAGGAAGTTAAAAAAAAAATGTACAAAACTCATTAGCTTGAAACTTAAAAAAATAATACCCAGAGACAGAGTCAGAAACAGAAGCTTTGGTCTTTTAAAAGTGACCTTCACAATCAGTTTTGTGTTTGTTTCCATTTTCTTTCACAGTTTAAGCCTCAATCAAATCAGCAGTCTCTAGGGATTTTGAAATCGCTATAGATTAAAATCCTCTCTGACTCAACTGTTTGACTAATGCCGAGTATTTAATAATTCCACTTGTGAGAGACTTTTTTGGATGAAATCCTGCTGTGTGCTATCTTCAGATGTTCCCCAGCTGCACCATCATGCAAGGCATCGCTGTCCTTACTGAGATGAGAAAATACATTATTACAAACAGTTCTAGTAGTCAGCAGGCCAGGCTGAAAACAGTGTTATAATAATAATAATGTAGCAACTATCACCTATAAAGGCAGCTTTTCTAGTTATTAATGAGTCATATTCATAGTTTGGTTTCCAAGGTTCAGAAATTAATAACTGTCATACATAGACCAGAGCTAAGTTAATGAATTTCTAAACTCTATGCTTTCAATAATAAAATCATTCAAGCTATAGCATTTGGAGTCTCTCTGCTCCCACAGATCAGGCAGTTTGATACTCAACAGGTTGAGTAAATTGAATCCATATATTGTATTTACGTTCTCTGTCAAGGTTGCTACTCCACATTTCAGTGATCAAAGGCAAAACAGTCATCAACTCTGTAGTCTTCAATACTATGTTCATTACATTTAATCAAGTGCCAACTCCACCACATTATTCACCAACCTTAAGAATGCTTAAATGAATAGCATTGTTTAGCAACAAATATAGGCCCCATATTGTATTAAACCACATACATATCCAAAAATAAACAAACATAAAAAGAAAGACAAATAAATATCATCCTCTACATTGTGTGAGAAAATAAATTTAAAATGCACAGAATTCTCCAGTAAATAATATTTTGGAGATGATTTTCTACCTGAGGCAGCGTCAATCACTGTGGAAACTCCCCTTCGATCAGAGACTGGACGGGATGACCCTGGCATGCTGACTGGGTCAGAGCGGACTGGCTGGATCCTGCAATGCAATTTAATTTAATTCACATATGTTACTGGCATGAAAACTGTCGCTTGCTACAACAGACCTTAAATCAGGAATGCTGGAATAGCCCAATCCATTAAAGAACCATTCATTCTAAAACCAGACAAGCAGGGGAGCTACAGTCTCTAACTCATGCACAAGGCTAGAGCACTGGAAAACTTTTTGCTCTAGCTCCTGCCAAATGTATTACATGTTATTCAATAGATTTTTAAGTAAGGTATTGAAAAGATGACAATAATTTAAACAGAAAAAATAAGTAGACTGAGGGAAGAGACGGAAATTACTGAAACCTCTAGCAACTGTAATATATATGATGAGTTTTGAGAATCTTCACCTTCATGAATAACACCATAATGGGCAAAATATTCCATAAAATATATCAACATATGATTCAAAACTTTGAGATACTCCCTATACATTTTTAATGAAAGTTATGCTACAGATGACAAAAACACAGGATAACAAAGCTCTTTTGTGACTGCGGGGCATTTAGCTGAGATTACCACTGAGTTACCACCATACATTACCAATTAGCACATAAGAATCAGTTACAACTTCAGTGACACTAACGATCATAAAAACAATTCACTAAATGCAACTGCAAGTTGTTTAAGAGAGAGAAAAGCACAAAAATTATAAATAAATACTATTAATACAAAATACCCATATGATTAAAAACCCTGAGATTGCTAGCAGCTTAGAGGAACAAAAATTGTTAAACAATATATGCATACATTTCTGGTAACTCATTCATACAGAAATATTTATTGAAATAATGATTGTAGGGCAACATTATTCTAGAAACAAACAGAAACAAAACACAAAGTTTAAGATCTATACGTAGATATACAACAGCATGTACACATCCATGGCTTGATGCAAAAGAAAACGAAAGTGTGAACATGAATGACAATAAAAACTCAGAATGAAGAGGTGGGAAATACATGTGTCATACAACAGCAGGCAGAAAAGATCCTGTGAGTTGGAACAGAGGTAGAGTCTAACTGCAACAACAAGACATGTGTATATGCCAAGGATCAGGAAGTGCCTTGTGAGCACAGGACGAGAAAAATCAGAGCCTTAGTTTTGAGACTATGAGAAATGCAGGATGTTCTTAAGTTCATGGTTTGGGTGAAGTATAGAGTTCATAAATGGGATTGGGAGAAGTTAAATTGATAAGAATCACAAAATAAATTACAGAAGCCCAAAATGCCA